CCCCCCCCCCCCCCCCCCCCCCGCCCGCTGACGAACGGCTATGATAGGTGGCGTACGAGCTGTTGCTGGCGCATACTAATGAGGACCTGGAAGACACAGACACTCTCGCTGAGTTCGTGGACCAATGCAAGGTTAGAGAGGCATGGGGAAGGGAGGACAAGCCATCATGTTCAGGAGGGGACCATAAGGCCAAGGAGAAAGAGACGCGTTTTTTTTGTGGCGTTTTTTTTTTTTTTCGTCTTCGTTGTTGTCACCTCGCTCGGGCTTCCCGCTGCTCGAAAGAGATGGATCAGGAGTGTGAATGGAAGCGGTCGACTCGAGATGTTTAGCAAACCTCCTATCCCCCAGCGTTGGTGTGACACTCGCTGCTCGTTCGTCGTTTTTGCGTGTGCGCTACAACAGGTTATAGCGTCGTCGTTGTTTGAGGACGACAAGCGAAGGAAGAAGCGACGGTGGCGTTAGTGTTGGTGGTGGTCAACGGAGCAACATGAGAGAGGAACTAAGAACGAAGCTAGAAGAATCACACGACCGCGGCTTCCGCGTGTGCGAGGGAAAGGAATAGTGATGGTTCAAACAATTGATGAGCTACAAATCACTCGGTACAAACGAAGCCGACTTTATACCGAGACGACACATGCGAGCTAATAGCGGCGTCGGGGTTTAGCTGTGTTGCCTGCCACCTGTGAGCCAAGCGCGCCTTGCTGCATCTCGGGATGATGTTGGTAGAACCGACCTCCTTTTCGGGCCAGGGAGAGCGAAACGAGCAAGACAGCATAGCAGCGCACGGAGGACGGTAACACCCCCCCTGTACATTCTCCTTCGCGCTTCCCCCCCCTGCTTAGGGGCCAAGCAGACTAGAAAGTGGTACCAGTGAGCAGGGGCCGAAAGTGCGCCAAGTAGCGGGCGCGTGAGGTTGAAGCGCTTGTACGCTCTGATCAGCTCCGTGTGTGGGACGGCGAGATGTCTCGAATCACCCGAATTATGCCGTCACTGGTCTGCTCCTTTCCCTACTGTTGCCTGGATATGTGGTCGTATTCATGACCACAAGAAACTACTGGTGCCTTGGATTATTAGGATTTTTTTTGGTCCAAGCCCAGCGTACATTTACGCGGAGAAGGGGTGTTACGCGGAGAAGGGGTGCCCGCGGTGGCTACCACCACCATGCGCGCCAACTACAAAGCATGTAGGTTAGGTTTCCCTTAGATGTATTCCATGTCCGTCCATGCTCGTTGAAAGGTGATCGCACGCCAGGATACTGGTTGGATGGCGGGAGGGCAGCAGGCCGCAGTGACACCTAGATTCAGTCATTCCTCCGCATCTCTTTTAAACAGTTTGTGTTTCTTGCTGTAGACTAAGCTGATCGAGACGTTGTGTTTTCGTCCTTGCCTGTTGATTGAAGGCGCAAGAATAGTTACCGAGTGGAAGCATGGTGGTCACTTTGACACGGACAAACACTGCTGTGCGAAAGGAACCAAAAATGCCTTGAATGCCGAAGCACACTTGAGTGGCAGTCACCCCGCTCCTTTTCTGTCGTGTTTTTCGACTTGTGTTTTTGGGGGACAGGCTCCGAAACATGTGTGGGACCATGACAGCACGTAGACACAGTACATACAGTAGAGCAGACGAAGGATCATCGAAGCTTGTTCTTGCAACCAGCCGACAGCGCCCGCGTAGGAGGAGCTCATATGGACGCTGGAGTGCGCGTGCGTGGGGCAAGTGGGGGGGCAACTCGGAGGGGGGGCCTTGATATATCGTCCTCCCTTCAACACCCCCGTCCGCTCTCGCAAAAGGTTTCATGATCCACTTGTCATTCGTTGGTTCTGCAGCTGTGCCAGCAATTATTTGCCGGTTGGATTTCCGAAGCTATTCTCTACACGGTACAACATCCTCTCTCTCCCACGTACGTCGTGCTTCCCTCGATCCAGATGGCTTGAGAGAACAAAAAAACTCGCACACGCACTAAAAAACGCCCGCGAGTGTGAGACTCGCTTACATCGTTGTCACACCCCGCCCGCAACATCGCGCGAAAAACACTACAAACCAAGCTCAATCACCACCCGAAGCAAGGACGAAAAAACGCAAGTAGGTGTTCAGACAAAGAAAATGTGTGGTCGCCCTCTGGGCATTTTTCTCTCGGGGAATAGATACTGCATTGCTCGCCCAGCGGGGGGGCGATACTGCATTTTATCCTCCCGCATGCATTTACGTACTACACGCACATACGCACACCCGCAGTCAATTCTCGCGGGCAGGGTTGGTTGTAACAAGCGGCACACCGCACGCTGGCTGCACACGCCACACGATGGCAATGCACGCGCGTTCTACTGCCGCTGCCGCCTCTGCTGCAAAGGCCGGAAGGGATGACGACCTACACTACACGGTAGCAGCCTCTGTGTATGGCACACCATGATACTACCGCATGGGACAACAAAAAAAACGAACATCGATCAAAAACATGCCGAAAAGGCGTACCACCACCCGCGCTAAGACAAGGATAAGACACAGCACCCCGCACGTGTGGGTGCCAACACGTCATGCGCTACTGCTTCGCACAAAAAAAAAAAAAAAAGGCAGCACGAAGGCCGGCGTGGACAGGTGCCACCAAGCGTCGGCCGTCCTTTCGGTTTGATCAAACGCAAGCCCTCAGCGACTGACACCAAGGTTGACCAAACATTTTCTTGTGATAATATGAGTACACGCGCTGCTGTCCCCTCTCTCCCCCCCCCCCAACCCCGTGCGCAATCACGGGGCTTCCTACCAAAACGCGCGAACGAGTGTGCTCAGCCTGCCTGCCTCTCCCTCAAACAAAGACGAAAAAAAACGAAAAAAAACGAAAAAAAAGACTCGTTCGACCGCAGCGAGCAGCATGGGAGCAGGTTCTGTACATGAAAGCTCTGATGCTGCTACAGCTGTGCCGTTCTCTACCGATCTATACCCTACGTATATCCACGCGCAACACACCGATTCTCCCACTCTCATCACCGCGTTGGCAGCGGGAAGTCGTCCTTGATCCAGTAAAACTGGTCCTGATCGTTTTCGGAAATGCACGAGGAGGTGCTTTCAACATCAGTCATTGGGCCGTGGTCTGGATGGAATCCTGGTATTACAATACCGAGAAACGAGGGCCCACAGCAAGTGGCTTCTCGTGGGGATCGTGACAGCGGTTGCAATTGCTTATGTGGTCATGATCGTGGTTTTCATAACCCCCGTCCCGAAAAACAAACGCTTCACGAAAACAACCACTGCGAAGGCAGCATGCTTGCAATCAAAGTCGAACGTAGGCAGGACGAACGCACAAATGCAGTCAACTATCCATCGGCAGACGAAGCATACAAGGCACGCGCGACCGAGGGGGACGGGGGGTAGGGGGGGGGGGGGGGGGGGAAAACCCAAACCACCCCCCCCAAAATCCGGCCAAAAAAAAAAAAAAAAAAAAAAAAAAAGGGGGGGGAGGGGGATTAGGAAACCCCCCAAAAATGAAAGGGGGAAAAACCCCCCCAAAAAAAAAAGGCTTCGGAGCCCCCAAGAAAACCCGGGTGGGCCAGAAGGCCCGGAAGGCTTGGAATTTGAGGAGTCCTCCGTTCTGGCTTTTCCCCCCCGAAAAAGACTCCCTGGCCCAGAAAAAAGTGAAAAACTCCCGCGCCACCAAAGGGAAAAAAGGGGGGGCCTGGGGACCCACAAAAACACACACAGCGCGGTGGGGGGGCCAAAAAAAAACGGCAAAAACAA